GTTAGATAACTAAATAATATATTATGTAAATTGAGATAATTTTGAAAGTCAATCCACAGCTAAGTAGAAAGCAATAGAAAACCCATACTAACATGAGCAATTTGGGGCTTGGTTAGCATGGTCTCACAGTTCATAAAAATCACTTCCTATAAACCACCTCCTCTCTTTATGCTTTGGGCAGTGCTAAGCACTGGCCTTGCAGAGATTAGCACAGCTATCCATTCCATTGCCTAAAGATAAAAGCTGAAGGACCATGAGACTTTTTACACATAGCGTTCAGTCATTTTAAAATCTAAAACTAATAATTCAGCACTAAGAAAAAACCATACCAATACCAATCAAGTTTTCCCTCACCTATTTTGGAAACAGATAAATAAAGCCATTTGTGAGACCTTCCTAACATGTTTACTCCATAAGTGCTGTAAACTTTTTTTAAGCCTGTGGTCTCATAGTTTGGCAACAACTTGAAAACTGTCCAGCAAGCAATGAAAGGAGGGAAAAGGAGGGAGAAGGGGAATTGCATGGATGGTGGAAGGAGACCCCCATCATTATACAAAATACATGTATGAAGATGTGAGAAAAAAAAAAAGAATAGCGTTACCTTAGATTAGGCAGGGAGAAGTGATGGGAGGGGAGAGGATGAGATGGGGAGATAAGAAGGATAGTAGAATGAAACAGACATTATTATTACTGTGTGTATATATATGATTGCATGACCAATGTGATTCTGCAACCTGTATACTCAGAAAAATGAGAAATTATATCCCATCTGATTCAAATGTATGATATGTCAAGGTCATTGTGCCTCAGTTTCCTTCCCTGAGAATAAAACTTAATATGTGTAACTAATTAAAGCAAATTTTTAAAAAAGAGAAATTCATCAATTTTCTCTGTAGTTTACTTATTCTTTACTACTTTAAAATATTGTTCAGATATTTTTAATTTCTTCATCTGAAAATACCAACATATACTGTTGAATTTTTTTCTATTAAAGCAAAATTTTCCTGCTACTAGTTCCATTATAGCAGCTACATAATAAATCCTATTTTTTAGAAATATTTAGAAGTATTGTACTGCAGAGTATAATAACTTTTATCTCAATGTCTTTTTCTTTAGAAAACTCATTAAGTGATTTATAATGTTAACTCAATTATCACACGTCTAGTACTAGATTATTATTAAGTTTTATTTTCAGGGAAGGAAACTAAGGCACAAAGATGCCCAAGGTCACCTAGCTACTGTGGTAGAGCTGCCATGTGCACTCAGGTGACCTAGTTCTAGGTTCTGTGTTCTCTATCAGTTTTCTGCCTCCTGGGTTACCTTTAGTAACTAACCTTGTCTGTGAGTACTGTATTTCACTGCATAATCATTGCCACTGCATTAACATATATTTACTAGTATTCCATGTATCCTAAACTTGCACCAAAGGCAGTTTAGTAATACATTGTTTTTTAATAATACTGGAACATTTTTTTAAAAGCTTCACTTAATTTTCACACCCCACTTTTTTGCAAAAATAAAAAATAAATAAATATAAAGACAAAATCTGAAATGATTATTCAGTGAAATACCATAGTATTAACGCCCCTGAGCACCCATCTCAAAAATAAGAAAATTAAGATTGTGACAGATAATTTGTCTAGGTCCAAAGTGACTATGTTGAGTTGGAATTTAAATTCTGTTATTTTGTTTCTGTCCCTAAATGCTTTACTAGTCTAATCTGGAACTATGGTGTGGCAAATATTCTATTATTTTTTATGTATAAGGTCAAGAGATTAGTGTGTCAAGAACAATGGTAAATTATAGTGATAATAATGAATACTTTAATCTTGCTTTTCATCAATCAATTTTCTTAGAAAGTCATTTATTGCAACAATATTTGAAATATATTAGCATATAGTTGCACAATGATAATTTTATGATTATTTTACAATTACTTTCTTATTGTTATATTCCCTTTACTCCTCTGTATTTTGACTAATAAATGTTCTTTTAATTTTTTTCTATTATTTCATCTACTATACAAATAGTTTTTCATTTTATTTTTATTTTACCCAAAGAAACAATTTTAAGATGTTTCAGTTTTACGCTTCTTAATGTTTAGTGAGTTACTTCTTTATTGTTTTGATATCTCCCACTTAAATTTTTTCTTTCTTCTTTTTTGAAATTTACAAAAGCCTTTATTGCATCTAGATTATAAATAAATATTTAAAATCATTTGTATTTCTTTTTGTAAATCTTATTTTACTAATTTTTTATTTATATGACAGCAGAATGCACTGTGATTCGTATTACACATATAGAGCACAAATTTTTCATATCTCTGGTTGTATACAAAGTATATCTTTCTTTTTTCTTTTTCCTTTTTCTCTTTTTGGAAATGCTTTTACACTATTGCCAGAAGCTTACTTCTCTGTCTTCTGTAGCCATCTTACTTCTTCCTAGCCATCCTCTTCTCTTGCCTTTCTCTCCTTCACTTCTCAAAGTCTGCACACAGTGGCCTTCTTGATCTCTTAATAAGCAAACTAATTCTTGCCTCTGAGCTTCTGCAGTCTTTTCTATCAGAATTTACTGCTTTTCTGACCACTTCACTCTCACTGTTTCGTTCTTGCAAATACTGCCATCTGGAGAGCCTTCCCTGACACTCCAGCAAGGGCATCTACCCCAACAGGACTCAATAACATTCCAGTGATTTTGTTCTATTTCATTTTCTTCATAGCTGCTATCAGCACTTAATAATTATATTTTAATTTGTTGGGTTACATTTTAACTGTGAGTTTTCCCAAACCAAGCTCTATAAATAAGAGAATATATATCTGCTCTTTACACTGTATTTCTAGCACCTAAAACAATGGCTAGTGTTAAAAATAGGTTACTAAAATTATTCTTATACTTGTTACTATTATTTCTTAAGGCATGTTTTAATTTTCAAGTTTTACTGATTTTAATAATAATTTTTATTTTTAATATTTTATACATTTGTTATTAATTTTTAAATATTAAATTTAATCATAAGAGGTGATCTTAGTATTTCTTTTAATATTTAAAATGAACTTACTTGCAATTATTAGTTAAATATATATTTAAAAAATCTACTAAGGGTATCAGCATATAACATTGAAATAAACTACCTCTTGGGGGCAAGGGAGGCATGGGGAAATGTTGGTCAATGTGTGGTAGTTAAATAGGAACAAGGAGTTCTGATGTGCTACTTCACAACAGGGTGACTACAGATAAAAATATTGTCCTGTATATTTCGAAAACTTATAAGAAAGGATTTGGAATATTTTCATCATAAAGAAGTGACACAGTTTTGATGAGATAGATATGTTTAACCTGATTTAAATATTACGCAATGTGCATATGTATCAAGATATCATATCTTGCCCATTAATATGTATAATTTTTATGTTTTTCAATATTGGTTAAAAATAAATTTATCTTAAAATTTAAAAATGCTTTTGTATTTTCTTTACTGACATACATCTTTAAGTGTTATTACTATACTAAAGAAAGTAGAATATGTTTGGGTCCCCTCACTAACTAAAGCATGTGCTTCAAATTTTTTAACTTAGAAACCAGGTGATAAAAGTTCCATTTTCAAACACATTTGTCAAACAGGGTGAGAAGCCAGGACAGAGTTGCAAAACTAGGGGGCACATCAATAAAGTGATCTTTGACTTTCCCTATTTATTTTTTATGTTTGTTGAAATCACTGAAGTTAGGGCCACTTTTAGCCTTTCTCTGATCCAGTATCATAATATGACTGTGTTCAACCTTCTTCCTGGTATTTCTGCCCATTGAACTACAGAAGAAGGACACAATCAAGAGTGAACACATGTTTCTAGATTCCTCATACTGGTAAAAATCATAGAAAAGCCCCTTATTCCTCCGATTTGAATCCTAACCACAGCCCCTCCTGACAGCTGTTAGCAGGACGTGGTGAAAGTGCTTCTATATGCATCTTTCCACTGCATGCCCTAGCAAAAACCCTAAAACTAGAGATATGTTTTACTCCTTAAAACTTCCATACTTTCCAAGGTTTTTCACCAAATTCTCTGAAGAGAGAAAAAGAATAGGGGATTTGATATCTCACTTCACTCTAACACCTATTTCATGTCTACCAGCACTTTCCACCAAATTTGAGTTCTGTGGTGAAATCATTCCTTGCTAATGGGTATTTTTATAGATTTGTTGAATTTATTTAATTCTGTTTCCATTAAAGGTTTTGGAGGTCTGGTTTTATGCCACCATTTAGAGTTCAAACTCTCTTCAAACAAAAGTAGCTCAATGTTATGTGGATGCCAGCACACAACAAGTGTGGGGATGGGGATGAATAAAAGTTCAGTGGGTTAGACAAAGTGGAAATGAAGGGAAAGGAGGAAGGATGGGAAGAGGAAAAACAGTAGAATAAATCACACATAACTTTCCTAGGTTCATAAATGAATATACCTCCAGTCTAACTCCACATCGTGTATAATTGCAAGAATGGGGTCCAAATTAGGATAAGTTATACTCCATGTATGTATAATATGTCAAAATGCACTCTATTGTCATGTGTATCTAAGAAGAAAATAAAAGCCAGCCTCAGCAACTTAGTGAAGTACTAAGCAATTTATCAAGACCCTGTCTCAAAATTAAAAAGAAAAAAAAATTAAAAGGGCTGGGAATGTGTCTCAGTAGTGAAGAGTCCCTGAATTCAATCCCTGGTACCAAAACAAACTAACAAACAAAAAACACATTATTTGGTTGTGCTTTTTATCCTATTATTTGTTTCGTCAGAAACTATAGTCTACAAAATTGTGGGGAAAAAAAGAAAGAAAAAAGAAGAAAAAGAAATATAGGGTAATGTTCAGTTTTAGAAACGGTATTCTCTACTGTGAATCACCAATATCCACTGAATGTGAACATTTTTTTGTTCATTCTTTGCATAAAGAATAAATTGACAAGCAAGATAACTGATGATAGAAGCACCATTTTTAGAGCAGTATTTTTCTTACCTGGGCTATGTTGATTGCATTTTGGATTCGTTCATCTTTCTCATAATCCTTTGTTATTTGTAATGTTTTCCATATCGTGTTTCTAAATCCATCTTGTTCCTCATCATCCCGAAGTTCCCACAACATTTTTACCATGTTATACACTAAGCCATAGTAACCAACAAAGATCACTTGGTGACCTGTTGAAATAGAAACATTCTTTGGAAAGTTTTTATTTTATTAATCTTACTGTAGTATAGCTAGGTGGGGAAAAAACAATTTTATCAAAATTCATAATAATAGTATAAAGTCTGAAATTACAAGCTTTGGAAATTTTTGACCCTTAACTGATTTTATTCCTTTGTAACAGCACACAATATCTAACATCCTAACCATTTGAAAATATCAGCTGAACCCAACTACTACACCTCATAAATTAGAATATGCATGGGTAAACTGTGAACCACATGGAAAAACAAGTCCTTAAAATTCAACTGAAGAGGAATTTGCTTAAGGCAGGATAAACACATAATCTACCAGAGTGAATTTTTATAATAAATCTGGGGAAAAGGAAAAAAATCACTTGCCATTGTAAAACAACAACAACAAAATAACAAAGCTCTATTAAACTTGGCATTTGAACCAAGAAGAAAACTTAAAATAACACAAAAGGCAAAAAGAAATTACTGATACAATTATTATTTGGAAGATTTTTTTAGATAATAAGGACATAAATAAATTGGAATAGGAGAAAAGAATACTGAATGCAAAGAAGATTAAAAATATCTAAGATACCTCCCTTTAAAACTTTTGGTAGCAATTAGCAATTTATATATATCATGAAGTTCCACTTTCAAAATATGTACTCATCTTACAGAAAGGAGGAAGAAGTTTATATTTACTCTTTATATTAAGTATTTAATCTTTATCTTAAATATTTCTTACCTAACTATAGTATACTGCTATGCAGCAATATTCAGAAAAAGATAATTCTGATTTAGGTACAGATAGAATACATAAATAAGAGGAATAAAAAAATACACTCCTCAAAGGGGAGAAAAACTTATTTTATTCAAAGAGCAATGTGAAAATACTAAGCCTATTTGAAGAACAAGAGCAATAAAATGCTGAGAGAGGAAGGTTAGAAAGGCTTAAGAGCCCATTAAAATTCATGTTGCACTTTTCCTGAAAGTCCTGGTTATAGTCCATATAACACTGGGAAGCATCAGTATCCTCCTTAAATAAGAATATAAGCACAACTTGAAAAGCCAGATCTTCAACTTTCTCTAATTCAATCTGATGTACTGGGGAATGATCTTGGCCAAATTATATTGTTATATCATGTGCATATACAAATATGTAGCAACAAATCCCACTGTTATGAACAACTCTAATACACCAAATAAATATGAGAAAATGAAAGTTAATGATAATAATTACTATTATAGCTAGCATGCATGGGAATGCCATCTAGTTGCCCCAGTTCTTGTGCTCACTACAGTCTTGCCATGTAGATCTTATTATCTTTAGAATGAGAAATTGGAATATATGGACCTATAAACATATGAACCTCCCTTGAATCAAAGATCTGATAAGTGAGTGCCATCTAATCTTGTTCCATGAGGGACACTCTTTCCAACTCAGACAAGTGCTTTCCTTTCCATAACCCACCTTCCATTCCATTCATACAAAAGGATGAAACTAGAAAGTAGAAAGAGGAAGCAAAAGAGAAAACATGTACACGTTTTAGAAATGGAGAAGGAAGGCATATTTCTAGTTTTCAATCTTTTTTTTTTTTTGAGAGCGAGAGAGAGAGAGAGAATTTTAATATTTATTTTTTAGTTCGGCGGACACAACATCTTTCTTTGTATGTGGTGCTGAGGATCAAAGCCAGACCGCACGCATGCCAGGCGAGCGCGCTAACACTTGAGCCACATCCCCACCCCTAGTTTCCAATCTTAAGGTACCTTCTACCCTTTCTGTCATTGGTACTTTAAGAGAGAGTCAAAGATGCAAATATGAAGCTACAATGAAGCAGCTTGTTCTTGGGGAAATGTGATTTTCTCTTCATAACAACTTTATTCATTAAACTGGTGTACTGCAATATTTGACATTATATAAATACGAAAAATACCTCATTTGAATGATTGGTAATTAACATTTTTGCTAGAAAATGAAATTTAATCAAGAAATACGAATTTACTTTTTAAACTACTTTCTTTGCCCTTGGATGAAAGAAAGATAACCTGTGGCTTCAAGTAGTTAATGAGTCTAGAAACAGAATAATTTGTATGAGAAGGTAGAGGGCAACAGTTCATGAAAAGGTGATGGAATCAATCTACCAAAGCAAGGGATCAGTGAGAGCTGGAAGAGTGAGGAAGGGACTTAGAGAAGGTGAGACCTCGTCAGACCTTGTCTAAGAGGTAAACCTGGAAACAGCAGAGGAAGACATTGAGGGATATTTCACTGGGTGGACACCTGGAAAATGTTAGCGCTATGAATAACTACATACTAACTTTCTGTCTGTGCTTTCCTCTTCCTGTCTTGTCCAGACTGCTTCACCATTGGTAATCTAGGTTGTGAAAAAAATGACTTTGTAAATCTATCATTTTGCTTCCCTGTTTATAACTTATCCATAGCCTTTTGTCCCTATGTAAATTCCAAATTGCATAGCCAGACAATTATGGCTCTGTCTTTCTAATCTTTCTGAAATACATATATTTCAACTCTTCTATTTTCCCCCAACTTGCAAATATACTACATTAAGAAAAAAAAGATTGAAGTTCTTGAATACACACTTAATTCTATCTTCTAGTCTTAATATAAACTATTCCATTGACTTAATCAGAAGTCATTCTGTCCAAAAATATTTCTATTACTATACTATATCCATTATTTTACATCTTTTCATTAAAAAGTCTTCTCTGAAAGAGAATTGTGTCCATGGTTAGCTATTAGCTACATCCCTTGTACTTACTAGATAATAACATATCATATTATAATTGCCTATTTCACCTACAGATTCTAAACAATTGGAGGATGGGATTATATTTTATTCTCTCTTATGCTCCTAGCACTTACCATAATGCCTGCAACATAGTAGATCTAATTTCTAAAAGTATGTTCACTGAATAAGGGGAATAGACAGAGTAAAAAAGTGTCTCCATTTACCTGGGACTGAGGGGTTTCTTAAAGCACAGAGCTTTCAAGGACAAATGGGAACAGGGCTAAGTAAATCAGAACAGTTGGACCAGTAATAGGACTTCCAGCAGAGAGGTAACAGTAAGGAAAGACAAGAGAAGATGATAGTGGGTATCTCAAATTGAGCTTGAGTGGAGAGTTCTTATTAAAATAGTTGAGATTCGATAGCTCAGGATAAATGGGGTCAGATTAAATGATGGATGTTTGAGCAAAGGAGTAATGTTATTCCTGCTCAATGCAGTGTTACGTCTAGTCTATTCAAGCAATAAACTGGGAAGCCTATATGGGAGTTTTATGAGGTAATCTAGGTCTTCACTATGATGAGCAGCAGGAGACTAGAAAGGAAGGGACAAACTTAAGTTACCGTGGCGAAGGTCTAATAAGACTTCTTGCTATGAGGGAGAAGAGGGAATGAAAGGCAAAGGAGAAGTTCGAGTTGAAGCTCAGGAGACTCAAACAATAATGAAACCACTTTTTAAAAAAAATGAGGAGATTGTGAAGATAAGACAATTCATACAAAGGAAATAAAAATGTGGAAAATGTGGCATGGGTATGAGAGAATACAATTTTTAATAATCTGTAGCTTGTTAAAACATGGCTGAAATGCAAGTAAAATAGCAAGAGTGAGGGTATTGATTTGTGAAGCATTAGTGAAACATAATGACTGAATTCAATATGAGTGAGAAATAATTTTGAGTTTTTAAATGAATAATACTGGAATTGTGAGCTTCAGTAAAATAGCTTTCAAACAATATTATAAATAAAACATGCTGTGCATTTTAACTCATTTCTCATTTATTTAGATACTCCCAACATCTTTACATTGACAAGAATGATTAAAGTACATACAAACCAACTTCCATCCATATATTTTAAATTTGTTTGAAGATTAATGTTTGATAAAACTACAACTGTTTAATTATCAAAGTGGTATAATTTGATTTTAGAATTTTCAGGACCAATGTTGAGCCGTTATATACTCTCTGATAATTATGTCTCAGTCTCACAATTTCTTTGAACATTCTTTTTATGAGTCTAAAAGTGAGCTTGTTCACCTGTTGACTTAAACACCAGTGAAGTACAGCTGATGAATAATATTTGTAGGGAGAATCTAATTGATTGACAGTAAATGAGGAAAAAAACCTTGTAAAGACAGATGGTGTGTGTTGCAACTGTCATAAAAAGTAGACCGTGTTCTCATTTGCACGTCTAGACATTTGCTGAGAAGCATGCCTGCTCTGAAGTTCCTCATCCAGGGACCAAGCTGTAGCATAAGGCACTCTTCTGTTCTGCTTTCAGTGACCCTGTGGCAGCTATCAAAGATGTCACTTTAAATATACTGCAAGAAACAGGATCTGTGTCTACAGCTAAGCAGACAGTATCCTAGGAAATAAAAAAGCTGAACCAAAATAATAAATTCTTACAATTTATTAAGAAACTACTCTATTTGAAAACCAATACTGTGACCCTTTTTTGGTAACAATGCTACATATTAGTGGTTGTATTCCTTGGTAGCATTTAATTGCCACACTAGATGTATAGATTGCAAATATTCAGTGGAAATGAAATATAAACATTTCTACTCATATGAATGTGCATAAATGACAACAGCTTTTACAATTTTGACAAATATAATTTGACACCACAGGATCAAAAGTGTCACTGAAAGGTAACTGGAATGTCAGCTGTGGTTCAAAACACTGTATGAAATGCCACTTTGCATGAAAGGAAGCAGATCAATGACCAGAGTTGGACAAGAACCAGTCATCCAGCCATGCATTTAACAAACACCTACTGTTCTTTGTACCAAAGAGAAAGCAACATTACTGCTTTGGGGATATTTAATTCTGGTGGAGAAAGACAGAAACTAAAAAAGTATATTAAAAAATATCCATTCATAATAAGTGTTATGACAATAATGGAAGATGGTGATATGACCAGCAATAACTAGAAGAAAACGCTATTATAGACAGTGAAAGAAAGACTTCTATGAGGAGGT